CGGAAAATGTTTCGTTTTTGCAGGTTCGCCTCTTCGGCTTTCACAACGTCCAAGACGGCCCAAGAGGCCTCCAAGATCGCCCCAAGACGGCCCAAGAGGCCGCCAAGAGGGCTCCAAGAGAACGAACCCATGAGAGCCCCAAGACGGCCCCAGAAGCCCCCTAAGACGGCCCAAGAGAGCCACAGGACTGCCCCAAGAGGGAGCCCAGAGGGGGCACCCGAGCTAACACTTCGAGCCTTCGGCCCCAGGACGCCCTCAGAAGGCCCCAAGAAACCCCTAAGAGCCCCCCAAGAAACCCCAAGAGGGCCCCAAAAGGCACCAAAGAGGCCCCCATTAAGGTACCCAAAAGGCCCCCAAAAGGCCTCCTGAGAACTTTTGCACCCGCATGGACTGTTTGAGCGAGTCTGGGACCTCTGCTGGAGCTCTCTTCGGCCGTCTTGGCGCCCTCTCGAGCGATCTACTGGCGCTCTTCGGTGATACAGAAGCCTTGTTGAGCGCTCTTGGAACCCGCATCTCCATCGATCTCCTGACGGAAGTTCCTGCCTGACCTGCCAGTCCCCCTGGGCACGCGCACACCACCACGCACCAAGGGGATGAGACAGGGGACGGCGGAATGAGCGAAGCGATCCGAAGCCCCAACAGGTACGGCGTGTGAGCTCCACAGCAGGGTCTTCAGTAGTGCTGTGTGTAAGTCTTCTCTCCAGCGCGCCTTTCATACCTACCCCTGCCTCTGAGCCCTCGCAACACCTCCTAGGGTCCTCCCCACTCGGGAGCGGCCAAGAGGGGGGTGTCCAAGAGGGGGGGGTGCAAATCATGACCGGCGGCATGTGCGCGGCCCAGCGGGGGGGGCAGGGACGTATTGAAACAAGAAGAGGCGCCATGAAATCTGGGGAAATATCATGGCCCACGCCATGATATCCACCCCCCCCTAGTCATCACCCCCCTCTTTTCCGCCCCCGACCCACGCCTCGCTCATTCCGCCGGCCCGGTGGCCCCCGCTGCGGCCGGGGCGCCTTCTGGCCGCCATCTCCAGGCGCCCACTGGGCCGGCTTTCGGGCCTCCTGAGGCTCTCCTGGGCTCGTTTTCACCCTCCTTCAGGCCACTCTGAGCCGTTCCGAATGCCTTTCCTCGTCTTTTCGAGCCGCATACACCAGAACACCCCAACAAGCAAGAAACAGCGTAAAACACATAGGATGTTGGTGATTATGGCCTTCTCGCACTCCTCCTTGCGCCTCTCTCGGAGCTCCCGTGCATCCCCGCTGGCTCTTGCGGCCATCTTAGAACCTGGGCATGCTCTCTACGACGGTCCTGACAACCTCTCGGACCCATCTTGGGCCCTCTGGCCGGCCTTTAGGCGCCTTTTTGGGCTGTCTTGGGCGCGCCCAGGGGGTCCCCAGAGGCGCTTCTGAGGCCACAGAACTAAGTGGGACTGCTGCTTTCTGCCTCTCCGCATCCCTCTTCGGTTTCGTCTGCTGTTTCGATACCTTTGGGTACCCTGTTGGGCCGTTTTCGGAGCCTCTTGGGCCCCTCTGGGGGGCCTTTCTTCGGACCTTTTCCACGTCGTTTTGGACCCTGTCGGGCCGTCTCAAACTTCGCGTTCCAAAAATGATGGTGGGGCGGCGGTGTCTGCCCCCTCAGGGGCGTCGAATTGAAAAAATAACTACAAATACCAGGATTCTCCATAGTCTCACAAATTTTCAATGTTTTCGTCTTCCTCCCCACTTCCCATATTTTCGCATATCTTCCTGGGAGTCAACAATTCATTGTGTCTCTGTGTTTTTCCCCTCCTGCGAAAAGAACACGACGGCAAGCTTCCCCACATCTTGGGCTGCGTGGTCCTCCCAGGGGGCCTCGCCGGGCCTCGGGGCCGTCCAAGACGACTCGGGATGAAGAGCCGGCCCCTCGGAAGGGGCCTAGACCTCCGGGGCCATAAACTCCCGTAGATTACGCCACGTTGGCGTCCTCGACGCCAGGAGCTTCCGCAAATTACGCCATGCTCGCGTCCCCGAGGCCAGAAACCTTTGCAAATTACACCAGGTTCGCGCCCTCGAGGCCATACACCAGTGTAACTTAGTCAAAAGCCGCGCTGCGAACAAAAACACGGCGTCGGATGTTTCTGGGAGGCGTGGCAGGTGCCGCTCCCGCGTCCACTGCCAGGGCGCCTCCGCAGCGCCTGGCTGCCCCCCGGCCGCTCCTGCCGAGGCTCTCTTCGGTGCGGTGGGCGCCCTCCTCCCCCGCCCGCTCTCCGCGACCGCTCGCAGCCGCCTTCTCCCCCCTTCTGGGAGGCCTCCTACCCAGACTCCCTCGGGCAATGAAAAAATCATATGACGGGAGGTGTTTCTGCATTCTCGGCCTCCGGGGGCCCTCACCGGGCCTCGGGAGCGTCGAAAAACGAGTCGGGATGCAAAGCCGGTCGTGGAGAAAGGGTCGGGACCTCTGGGGGTCGACGTAATGAAAAAATCATCACGTCGGGGGTCTGGGTAGATGGGGTCGGAGCAGA